CGTCCGTGTCATCCGCCATGCTTCCAAGTATATAAGACAAACCAACTCACAAACGTACGTGTAATGCTTTTAATAAAACAATGTACAAAAAAAAAAAAAAAACTACACTAGATAATCACTAGAATAAATATTTCATAATAATGGAGTGGAGAGGATGGCTGTAAGGGGAGAAGGGAGGCCATCTATTAAAAAAAAAGAAAGAAAAAGAAAAAAAAACAAACAATGTACACAAATATACTACACAACCTCCAACGCTCCTTATCACTTTACATCATGCGCTGCGTACAATGCCCATTGTGTACGTGCGCATGCTATTTCCAGGCTGCAAGTCGAACTTTACGAAAAACGGACTCGCTTCACACATCGAGACGGTATTTTCGAGCCCGTCCTCAATGAGCAGTATATCGGTTCGTTTCGCCTCCTGTCCTGGCTTTACGGTCTCTCTTGTTTGGTTGCACAGTAACCCAACGCCTCGAACTGCTCCTTCGCGTACAGTCATATCAAGCAAAGGTCCGCACGGAACATACGTGTGCGGACAGCGTACATTCGATGGAGCCACGGTCACGACTGTGGGCTGCGTAACAAGCACCATGCAAGAATCGAGCGTGTGCCACCCGATTTCTTCTAGCTTAAAATCAATAGGCTGTCCGGGATCACTCGCGTCCATCGCATGAACCGGGTCTCGACTCTGCGAGATTTGTCGATAGATGGACTCGAAGTCTATAGGTCTCACGTAAGACATAGTTGAGAATCGCGTGTTTTTTTTTTATAGATACATGTACATATTTTAATAGTACACACTTGTTTATCGTGCAATTATGTGAGCGCCTAGTTAACGCATGCCATCTGACAACACGCAAAACGATCTTATGTTATGTTCACTTTGCGACTCTCTGCTATGTCTAACACCACCGGTATAACTAAAGACGCGCGTTTCTTGCACCAACGAACGAACGGCGGATTTTTCGAAAAGCACGAAGCTATCACAATGCTTCCGTTTACCGTG